TAATGATAATGATAATGATCCACAGGTAGAGAGGGAAAGCAAACTGGAGCCATTGTTTAGAATAACTGTCCATACCATTGTAAAAACACATCTCAAATCCAAAGTCTAAGTTAATCCATGATATGACTTGACTCAAGACTGGTAATGCTCCTTTCCTTGAAAAGACTGGCTCGTATAACTTGACAATGTTAGCATAGAACAATAGACCATTGAGTGTACCCACTGATACTGTTAAATTGAGAGCAATGAGTAGAACCACAAGTAGTACACCCATCACTGCAAACAGAGCAATCCAAGCTATCATCATGTAATTATTATGACACTGTCCACACTTGTTTGATCCCATTAGTAGACTGTATCCCTCTGTACATGATCCACACATTCTGTGTCCTCTATTATCCACACATTGAGTATGAGTGTCATTCAAGTTGAAGGTAACAGGATTAGGAGAACAATAGAGGAGACAGTCCTCATTGATAATGCATGCATTAGGATTGGTTTCATTAGCATTGAAAGGTGTAGTGGTATGATACGTTCCAATCCACAGTAGACCATTATGTGTAATGTTTAGAGTATTTATATCACATGTGACATTCTCTCTTGAAACACTTTGACTGCAAGCACAGGAACCTTGTGACTTATCTAACCTGAAACCAATAGGACACTCTTTAACAATGAAATTAAAATTAATAATTGTGCCCATGCTTGATATAGAAGAATAAAGTACTAAGTAACTTTGATATCCTGTTTGAGTCAGTTTAGGCGTGTATTCAATCAATGAACAAGTATTGGGAATATATGTTTGATTGAGCAAGAAACCATTGATGTCATTAAATATATCTACTGTACCATCTGTAGGAGTTAGTGATTTAAAGTAATTATAACCAAACAAAGCCACATTAAACTTCAATTTTTGACCTGGATGAATGTGTGGATCACTTGTATCTATACAGTTTCCATAACTATTTGTATTATAAGGATCACAAAAACATATTTTTTCTGCATCACTTGTTGAACTAATGTGTGTGTGTGTCAAATTAAACTTCCATTCGTGTTCATTTGATTTATAATATCCATACATATCACCACCAACCAGTCCAGCACTATTATTTATTAATGTAAGAGGTATATTTGGTGCATTTAATATTATATCAAATTGTGCTGTAGCATAGATCCCTCCTCCTTTATAAGAAGCATGATTATCAATAAACTCCAAGTTAGCTGATGATGATACTATCAATCGTGATGAGCCAGTTATGGCTAATCCTCCTCCAACTACTCCAGTATTGTTCTTGAATATTAAATTATTCTTAATCGTCACTAATGATCTTTCAAGTTTCAATCCTGTTGAAGTACTGTTAGCAACAGTAACATTACTGAGACTAATAGCATTAAGTAAACAGTTTGCTACTCTTGCTATTGTATTTCCTCCATTTCCAATAAGTTCAGTATCTATTATATCGATTTTGGTTGATCTCAAAAATGTTCCATCAATGAATAATCCTTCTTTTATATTGTCATGTATCAAACATGATTTAATAATAATGTGATAGTTTACTGTTCCAGTTATATGTAGGTGCTTGATGCCATTAATTTTCAGTCCTTTTTCAATTTATAAATTGGCTGTCTTCA